AAGTATCCTTTTATATTAAATGTTTCAAAAACTTTGTATTTTATTTGAGAATTAATTATTTATGTTCTCTGTTTATACTCAGTAACAATAAATATTTGATGATTTGAAATGTAAAAATTTATTTGTGATGATTTGGTAAAATTAATTCTCTACTCAATCGTGTGCACATTATGATGAGGGTTGGTGTGAAATTAAGGTTGATTAAGTCATCTTCCACTAATACGCCTCTAGTTGACTTGAGAGGGTTGACCGAGAAGTGACAAAAACACAGTTATGCTCAATGCTATGAGGAAACCACATTATGTGGTTCTCTAAGCTAAAATATCTCAATGTTCCTACTTCTTAAGAGGCAACTCATTGCAAGCGTTAATGTATAATGCCAAATGTCTTTAACGTCCAAGACGGGAAGCATGATTCCTTGATCATGTACATCATGAGATTCACTATAAACATACTAGAGATTAAAAATTCAAACTCATTAGTCGCCAAAATGACTTCATATAGAGTTTAGAAGATTTGATAGCATAATAAAAATGTCGAGATAACACTAACCTTGTTGACAAGTCCAACAAATATATTAATATTGACGAGTTCATATTAATGAGTTCACTAAAAGGGCTAAAACTCCCTCCTCATCTACCTAACCAACAACCTCAAGGGACATGTGAACTTAGGGCTAAATTTACTATTCTAGGGGTATAAGGAACCTAACTTGGCACACCAAAGGGGTATTACCTCCGAGACACCCAATTTCCAACCCATGTGCCATAAAAGAACTGGAAGATCTCACCTCTCCAAAAGTTCTGACGACCATTCAAATTTATGATTACTTCAAGTAGGCTCGCAATTGTGACATTATCAAATAAGAGGGGCGGATTAAAATACTGCCCCAACCATCATGACGACAGCCAAACAATTGTATCCACCTTAAACACTTAATCGGCTAGTTGGTGAAGAGGAATCATGGACACCAAAAATTGGTATTCATGACTAGGGAAGGAATTAATAATAAGATCTATTTTACGAAGAAGGTATGAGAAAGAAAGACATGGACGAGCTTGAAACTACTTTCTTCTATTTTGGACATTTAGGTTTTGTTCGAGTACAAAGAACGATGGATCAGAAGGAAACTGAAAGGCCAAAAAAGTCTTCAACATTACATTAGGCTATGAGTAATTCTAAGATAGAAAAATACATCACTGATTTGCTAGAATAGACATTGATCTCTAATTTGAGAATACAAAAACACACAACTTAAGATATAATTAACTAAACACATATAGATCTACCAAGGAGCTCACAACAACATGGGTCATCCATTCAATCAAGTTTGTTGACATTTACCACCACTCTGGGATAAATTGGAGGTATCTCTACTCAAACCATGTCAAACAATCTAAGTCAAGCAAAGCAAGGATGCTTGATGACTAAAATAGAGACTCGGGTATGCCAAGCTATTCGATTGCTATCTTAACAAAATCATTTGTCATCAAGCTAAGCAGTGATGTGATCAATAATTCATGTTTAATTAGATTCAAGCAAATTATCGCCCATGTTACAACTAAATGCCAAATGTATATATGCATGTAATGCTTATTTAATTAAATTGTGATTTTGACGTGTATCAGATTTAATGTGATATTGTAAGGTGCAAAAATCAAATAATTTTGCATGCCTTGAGTAGAGCAAGACATATGAAAACTGTGTTAACTAAGTCCACAACTTGTGAATTTATGAGCATCCTAATGATAGAGCAACATGTATCCAATCAATTAACACATATCTCTGAGATCAACATGTGCACAATCTGTTAAGCCACATCCCATCAATTGCAACCAATTGTTGAGTGTTATTTTCCTCTCCTAGGCATAGAATAGATGGACCGGCAGCTTATAAAATATTTTTAGATCTTCCTTTCGATTCTACACTCTCTATATTGAAAAAGATCTAATAGTTCTGAACATAAGGAATTATGAGCTCATCCTTTTTTCGACATCTACTCTTCTCAAAGTTCAATCAAAAGTCCCTATTTGAATCAAGAACACTAATCTTTTGTGGCAATAGGGGGTCATACGAGAGATTCCTTATCTAGATATCAAGGGGGTACCATATGGAGTATGCGACCAAACTTGAACTTAAGTTACATCAACATCATCAACGGTCATAAACATAGCCAAAGACACCAGGAAGGAAGAAACTTATTGTGAAAGTCTCTAATGCGTTGAGAATAATAAGGTAAATAATATACTCGAGCTCACTCTCCCTTGATAAATTTCATGAAAAAATCTTCCTCAAATAAAAACTTCGCAATGGATTGATGGCAATTAAAATCATTATCAGCAAGTTCAATATAAATCAACAAACTCTCAAAGCTCTATGACTATCCTCTTTTTTCATACCAAAATAACAAATATTAAAGTTAATCACAGAAGCTTAACGACTTTGAATTCTCAAGTGTAGCCTAAAATCCCAAAGGTATAATAATATTGCCTACAATCAGGAAGAAAAGATCTACTCCATTAACTTCACAAACTTTAAGTTTAACTGCATGCAAAAATATTTTTAATTGACACCTCCTGATTAATTTTGGTCCAAAGATTCAAAATATGTCCATAAAGCAATCACCACGATGATGAGAACTAGATGGATTCATAAAACTCATTGGGGAAAGAGCTCTATATAACCTAAAATGATTGATGCAGCAAAAAAATATTGATTAAGAGTTTTTTAACCTTTAAAACTAAATTTAGATTTTATTTTAATTTTTATTTTACGTCATATGATTATCTTTAATATAAATTAGACATCAGGATTATTAAAAGCTATCAAGATTTGAATTAAATTTGATTTCAAATTAGTTAATCTTAGCTTTATAACTGTATTTTTATAAACATGAGCTTATGGCTTGTGCTGTGATTACTATTGAATGACGAGAATTTTAAATATGCCTTTCCCTTTAACCTGTTTATTATCCCTCTTCTCGTTCCAAACTTTTCTAGATTATGCAAGTGCTTTTTTCTCTTATATTGAAAATTATACTTATGAGTCTCCTCCCTCTCCTCATATCATATAATAAATCATTCTCAAGTCTAATCACAAAAAATCTCTATAATACTTCATCTCAACGTGTAAACTAGCTAACTTGATTCCTCCTGATCGTAACTACTAGAAGCTATGACTTTTCCCTCAAAAATCCAATACACAGACATGGTTCCAGCCAACCCATGAAACCCAGTTAGTACTCAAATGTATAAAGGAGAACTCTATCTGATTTTTAGAGAGAGGACAGAAAATAAATTTATCAAAGTGATCATCATCAAAACATCAAATAAATCACTATATATGTATTGAATCCCTTCGGGTCAATTTGTCAAGCCTAAAATGTGCTACTACACCACTTTATCGATCAAAGTGAAAGCCAGATTTGTTTCCAAATAGATATCACTTCACAATTCAGGTTGTTTGGCGTATCTAATAAAGACAAAGAGCTCTGTTAGTTGAGACCTATCAAAAAATTGGCCACCATGATAATTTTTCTTCACCCAAAGTCTATGAGATCCTCTCAGACAAGTAACTTGTGGATGCTAAAACAGATCATGAAGCCATGGGAAGAAAATTCATCACCTGCAATTAATTAGATCGAGGCACCAACAGACCCTCAATAATTAAAGTATTGGATCTAGGCAAAATCTACCATCATCCCTCCTACTAGTGTTATCAAAGCACAAAGTGATGCGCAAGGTTTTATTTTTGCTTCAAAACGCAAAGCATGGAGCTAAGCAGCGCTTTATTAACTAAGGCGCTAATAGGTTATATAAAACTATTAATATATAAATACCTTCATTAATAATTATAAAATAAAAAATGGAAAAGAATGTGGTGAAATGCCTAACTTGAAGGCAAACATCGATGAAACCTGCAAATTAAAATTTCGAACAATTTCTACTAGTTTGATGTGATAACTACAAAATTAAAATTTGCAAAAAAAAATTATAACTCAAAATAAAATCTATATTTTAAAGCATAAATAAATTAATAGTCTCAAATTTCATAAAACAAGCAAAATTAATTTAATATTTCTTCATTTCCTCTCACTAACTGTGAATCGAACCGAAAGATTTGCTTAAAAGCTTCAATGCACGGTTCAACAAAGCGAAGTAGGCATCACGTGCTTCACTTTGCACGTAAAGCGCGTTCTTAAAAACATCGCCTCCAACCATCTTTTGAGCGTGAGGATAACATCCAATATAAAAAGGTGCACACAAGAGAACACGGAAATATAAGTAACCATATCGATGCAAATTTACCATAGAGCATTGCTATCCTTAATCAATAGTTCTTTCCTTTGGTTATGGTGGAAATTAATCACGTTTGCTTACGCCTAAGAGAAACCAAGAAAAAATAATATAACGTCGTGTATAAAAGGAAGAAAATCAAAATGGTGCTTTTTCTAACGCTTAATATGCTTCCTAAAAAATCACATCCGATGATTGTTAATTAAGTCGAGTGAGCATCTCACGAAAAAGGTGAAGAAAATAAATTTGCTATCAATCATAAAAGTAATGTATATGCCATAGCCGAATGAAAGATAAAATCAATCCAAATGGTTTAAGGTTATTTACTATACTTAAATCAGTCATTCAACTTCTTAAGTAACTAAAAAACAAAAAAGAAACTACCCGCATCAGGGGAAACTCCTTAAAAATATCAGGGACACCAAATAACTCATAGGAGTGTAGTTTTCTCTTATAAAATTATGGTGCAACTCCTATAAAATGAGGCATTCTACAATCAATATCAGATGAGATCCTACAATTTTCAAAAGGTTGCAACCAATAGCCATATCTACAATCAAGAATCCAAAATTTAGAATTTATAACACAAATACAAAACAGAAAGGCACAGTATTCTCAGAAATAGAGAAAGGGAATATGGTGAAGGCCGTGTTCCGACTAAGATACGCAAACGAATACTTCAACAAACGGATAGTAAGATCCCACCTTTGCATAGTAATCCTTCCAGACTCGACGAGCAATCTGATGCCCTCCAACGTCGAACGCCTTGAACTTAATCTTTCCAATGCTAAGTTCCTCCGAAGTAGGGTATTGCGTTGGCTGATGCTGCACTAACCTCTGCCCAAGAATGACAACAAAGCAAGCACGCACAAAATGAGTCTTTTTTCATCACCAGGTCTCAACAAAATGGAAGGGCTGAATGGCATACAAAATTCAAATCAAGTCAAACCATCAACATGTCTAAATCGGACACAAAATAAACCCTAAAGCCATAATACAACTCAACTCTTTGAAAAAAAATTTCTAGATCCATCCGAAGAATATAATCCAGAAAAAAAAATATTAAAAAGTAATCATTCATGAATTCCCCCACTTCTCTCTGCCAAAAAGAAAAATAACTTCAAAATAGAAGTCGGAAGCTCCCTTCAACCAGACTTATACAAAACTATCCCAAAATCAAAATCAAGAATTTCCCAAAAATATTGAAAGAAACGGTATCAATTCAGGGCAGACAAAACATAGCTGTATGGAAATCCGAAGCTAATTTCCCTAACCTTCGGCCCGATTAACGAAAAAACCGACATCTAACGAACGATCCACTGAAAACTTTCTAGCCTACATACCTCCTTTTTTGACTCCGCGAATCGCTCCTTGTCGAAGGCGTCCACCAGGTACACCACCGCGTCCACCTTTGCATAGTAATCCTTCCAGACTCGACGAGCAATCTGATGCCCTCCAACGTCGAACGCCTTGAACTTAATCTTTCCAATGCTAAGTTCCTCCGAAGTAGGGTATTGCGTTGGCTGATGCTACACTAACCTCTCATCCTTGAGCATGTGGAGGAGCGTCGTCTTCCCAGCGTTATCAAGCCCCAGGAAGAGAATTTTAGCCTCCTTCTGCCATAACCCCAGCGAGGCAAGGATGCCGTAGAACCAATCGACGAGGAACATGGAGGATCTGTGGTATCAACCGCTGATATAAATCCGGCGGCCGCGTATACTGATTTCAAGATCGCCGGGCGATGCAGGAAGACCTAATAAGGTGGGCGGGACGAAAGGGCGAGCGGCAAATATAGAGTCGAAAGTTGCCGTCTCAATATTATTCGACTTAACGCGAATTAGCGAATGTCTAGTATAATTGGATGGGGAAAAAAAGAATCCAATATGAAATTCAGTTCGGATTCGACCCGAATTGCGGGTCAATGATTTTGATTTTTTAGTCAATTCCGAGTCAACTTATAATTAGTTATTGAACCATTCGTTTTTTAATAAAAAATTTATGTGGTAGTAGGAGTTTCCTGTATTGTGTCGTAGCTTTATGGGCTTGTGGGTGTGGGTACATAAGGATTTCTTCTGTTCTTTATTGACGTTGAACTAGACACTTTTTCTTTGAATGTAAATGTGTCGGTCAGGACGGAGGATGTTGAAGGTTGCAGCCCATCGAGAGATGTGATCAATTTAGTTTGCATAGTTGTCACTGGATCCCTTAAGGCGATCGTTCGTCCGTTTCCGTCAATTGAAGCGGGTGAAAGCCAGCCATAACATATCGTCGGGGACTTCCTGCTAAGGCAATGTGGTGTCAGGTGCAAGAGATGGTAAAGGTTTTGTGTCAGACAACCGCAAGTCCCGCTGAAGCACCAGTGTCAGAGTGGTTGGCTTACTACGAGCGACTGGAGGATGCATGTTAATATAACTCAATCGTCATCGCCTGACTATAGGAGGAGGTTGCATCTCTTAGAGATTCCTTGAGCAACATTCACACCGAGTTGGGATCCCTCCACAATTCAATTGTGTTGAGTTGATTCTTCAATGAGGTAAACTACGTAAATCAAATTATATTACTTAGAGAGATGGTCCTCTAGAGATTTCTTGAGAAGGGGTACGCCTCATCTAAAGCCGTTGAGGACCCATTTATTAAGAATTTTGTTTTTTTTTTTTTGTTTGAAATTTGCAATAATGACATTCCTACTAAAATAATATATTGAGGAATTTGAAATGATAGTTGGTGAGACAATAATCTTTATGCGGCTCTTTGATTCGCGAGCACACATTATTAATAGGGTTAGGGTTACCCTCTTCCACTTTTGCACTTTATTTTTTATGCCTATTGATTTCTTATTTTTTGTCATCTGATCCTTTTGCTCGACTGTAATGGGGCCCAAGTATTCTTCGACTCTTTTTGGCATTGTATGAGCAGTTGATCCCTCCTTCTTGAAGAACAAGGTGGTGAAAGACCTCTAAGATAGGTATGTGCCAGATTCTCATATTATCATCTACTGGATGTCGGTCGAGGGGAGACCGACAGACAATGTTAGCCCTGATATAGTGTTCTACCAATGTCAGTTTATGTGCTGTCTCTGGCTACCCTTATGCCCGGAGCTCAGAAGCATCTTTACCAAATATGGTGTTATTCCAGCCCATTTCGTACCAAACTCCATTATAGCCATCGTGACTTTCGGCATGTTCTATTATCACTTCAGCATCCCCTGAATGACTGATAGTTTCAGTCATTACTTCTTCAAGGTTGACAAAGAGAGGCCTGTCATGTTTTCGTCCAGGTGAAAGCTTCGTTTGCTTGGCGTTGAAAACAAGATTAAGGATTGAGGAGGAAGTTCTTAATTAGTTCTACATATGGCGACTGGAAGATTATTAGCCGCCTGCAAGAGGTGGTGGGTGGTAAGCTAAAGGCCTTACCAGTTGATTTGCGACCTATCCAGGAGGTTCTAGAATGAAGCCCAATGTCAATTCCCCAGTGTAACGTGGAACAAACGGTCTCTGAACTAAATTAAACTTCTAAATTTTTTAGAGATATTAAGGAATGCATGGGGAATACATTAAACTTCTGAGCAGCTTTTCGCCTATAGACATGGTCAGTCTGAGAAGATTATTTTTTGTGTTGGATAATCTATTAAGATTATGTGCACGTAATTTTGGAGGGAGATGGGAGCATCATTTTTTATTATTAAATTTTCTTATAATAACATCTTGTAGCCAAATATCGGTATGACACCATATGAGGCATTACAAGGTAGAAGGTGACATGTCCTATAACGTGCTTATTTTTATTTCATATTTAATAGTTATTTTAATGATATTGAACTTCAATAGAAGTTATTTTCATGTTTTTTATTACAAGTGTAATTGGAGCAAAATGGAGGCAAGTGGAACTTTTGAGCAAAATTTTGAACTAACGCCAAGGCACCAGACTCTATTGAAATATAGAAAATTTTGCTCTCAAGCACCACATACTTGTGCTTAGACGCTAAGCTAGCGTCTAGGCGCCATACCCTACTGAAATACAGAAAAGTTGGTGCTTAGATGCCAGTTCATTTTATGAGGTTCCCGAGAAGGTGACGCCCAAACACCAGAACTGAAATTGGCACTTTCTAGAATTTTTACACACGAAAAGGAAGGTTTTTTCATAATTTTTGGGAGAGTTTTAGAGGAGGACACCAAAGAGAGAAGGGAGAAAAGTTAGAAGAAAAACACTGAAGGAAGGGGAGAGTTTACTTTGTATTTTCTACACTTTATTAATAAGAGTATAGAGAATTGTAAGGGAATTGTTGTAGAAGTGCAAGGAGATATGAGAAATCAACATTTGTAGAAGTTGTCTTTGGTCTTGTAAGTCTGCTGCTTTTTATTGTTATTATAGTAGAAATTTTCATATTAAAGGCATGCAATTTGAATCAAAATGATGAGTTCTTGTGTTTTCTTCATGATTCTAAGTAGTTTTCTTATCTCTTTCTTTTGTAATGAAGTAGCAGCATGTTTAAAATGTAGATTCAATTAGATTTGTATGTTAATTTTCATGGTGACTATTCATTTACTTCATGCTTCATTTACATTGCAATTTGACCAATTGAATTGTTAAAATCCGTTGTGAATCCCTAATGATCCGAATGGGATATGAAATTTAACAACTAGTATGAATCACATTAATATATAGGGTGAAGGAAAAGTAGTTCGTAGGTTAGTGCAAATACATAGGGGGATAATCCTAATGGGGGTAACTAGGAAGTTTCTAAGGGTGAAAGACAAAAACACCTCCTAGTTAAACTAGATTCTTCATGCACTTGAAAAGGGGTAAGAATATGCATGCTTTTATTTGGTACCAAACTTAATTACGTTTTATAGTTGATCTGCACTTTTACTATGTATTAAAGTAATTACAGGGGGGGTTAAATAGATCTAACTTTTCTTAACTTCGTTAAAATCAATAAAGCATCTTAAAGTAATTTTTAGGATTAGTTTAATCTGGCAGAACTAAATAATCATAACTTAAAACCAAAACACTTTTCCAAGCTAATAAGTATTATAGCAGACTATAGCTTTTTTATGTGAGAAATTTTGTATTTCTTAAGGCTAATCTCATGAAAGGGTGAGTAGATTTGGTAAGTGGGTTAGCTGGGCCCGAGATTTATTGGGCCTTTTGAGGTGATTGGTAGGGTTGATAATTTTTTTTATTGATCATTACTACCAGATAATTTTTTAGATGTGCACGATGTGCTTCATGTATCTATTTAAGAAAGTGAATTTCTGATGTTGAGCACATGATTCATGAAGATGAGGTTTAGATTCATCCCAACTTGACATATTGGGAGAAACCAAAGTGTATTTTGGCCTTTGATGTTAGACAATTGAGGAGCAAGCATATTCATATGGTTAAAGTTCGATAGAAGCACGATCAGAATGGGAAGCCATTAAAAAAAAAGAGGCCTATACGAGATAGTTTTATCCATATTTGTCTAATAGTTATATATTTTGAATGTCGAGAATGACATTTTTCTAAAAAGACGATAATATAACGACTACTATTGTAATATATCAGCGTGTCTGTTGTGACTTGATTTTGGGATTTGGTAAACCTTGCTTGTTTATTTTTTATTTTTCAAGTTTTTGATGTTTAATTTATTCGTCAATTTTTAATAGTTTTAATTCAATCCCAATTTATAAAATATCTTTGTTCGATTATAAAACAAAATTGATAATATATTAAACATATTTTTGCCTAATTTTATGAGCAACATTAATGAAAAAATAAAATATTTATTGGTGGATTTTTCTTCATTAAAGATTTGATACTTTTTTATACAAGTAGGTTTTTTAGAACTCTCGGGTGTCCATTTTACAAACCGTTTTCACCAATAAGTTCTAGACTTATTTTTTATATTTATTGACTATTTTTTCAGAATTTTTGGATTCATATATTTTAACATAAAAGAAACTCATCAAAAGTATATATATATAAAACATAGCAATTCACTTGATTACCTTTATATCCTTTATTTAATAAGAAAAATCCTTTAATAATAATATTTTAACCCACTCATTCCATGAACATTATCTCATTTCATTGCTTTTGTATTCCCAACCAAAGAAAATGACGAGAGAAAGGAAGAGAAAAAATAAATTTTCTAGAGAGAGAAGGCTCGATCCGTATTGCCGTTTGGAAAAATTGTCCGACAATAGATAGGCTGGTGTTAACCTACTTTAGATGTCATTTTAGTTGGTTTTTCGTAAAGTTTTGATAATTTATTTGCCAAAATTTCATACTAACTTTTATTTACAAAGATTTATAAACTTTCCACAGTGTAATTTTTTTATATGTGGTAGATTAGATTTTGTTGAACATATCGAGATCAAAATATATTTTTTAATAGGTATTTTGTGTTGTACAATGTTTTTTATATTTTAGTGTGTGGGTTCAACCTAATAAAAGTGCTTTAAACATTATTATGGACAACCCATAAAAGTGTTTTTGTAAATTTTGTTTGCCAATATGTGTTGCTTTATTTCCCCAGTAGATTTCATTATTTTTTGTGCATGTTGATATATAACATTTCTTACATCATGTTGTGATATTGATATGTCAAAATTATTAGCATATATATATTTTTATATCAAAATATGTGACAAAACTGATAAAAATAGGAGTTGCAGGTGGTTGTGGGTGGATGTTTGTTATTTGTAATTAATTTGAGTTATAAGCAGTTTTGCACCTGTGTAATTATTCATTTGTGTGTTTGATACACCTGAATATATGTAAATAAGTAGACATATGAGTATAAATAAAGTTATAAGGGGCATATGAGAAGCACGAACAAGTGAAAGTATAAGGAGGCGAAGGGAAAACATTAAAATAATTCAAATAAATAAATAAAATTTTATTTTTATATTATTTTTCTGTACCTGTGATATCATGTTGCTTATATTATTGCTCAACACATGCATACTACAATTTTAATTTATTGTGCTAGCACTATGATAGATACTACACATAATGTTTTGCCACATTAGATTTATTTACATAAAATACAAGTTTTTTTAAAATATTAAAAACGGTAGTATATGTTTTTTAATACAATTTTTCTTTATTAATATTGAAAATTATAGTCGATTTTTTTAATATTGGATTTATTTTGCATTACTTGTAAGATGTTGATTTTAGTTATGCCAATATCTTAGATTTTTATTTTCAATAGTTACACTAATGTTTAGTTTTTTTTTTAATATAGAAAGAGTGAATCATGGTTGTTGTATACGCTTCATTTGTTATACAGTACTATGATTTGAATAAATTTTGGGTATATTTATTTTACAACATTTGATGATATTAATGGTTATGTGAGTGAAACTTGAAGAAAAAGATATTAAAAAAAATCATTCCAAATAGATATTGGGTAATAATTTTTTTGTTATGATCTCGACACAATATGACTTACCTTAATATGACGGGTTGCATCGAGTTGGGTTGTAACATCAGCGATAACTCTCGCTGGATCAATTCAGGATGAGGTTCAGAGGCTGGAAGAAGCAAGCCACATCCGGGAGGTACAATACCAGACGTGGGTCTCAAATGCAGTTGCCATGCAGAAGACCAACGATAAGTAGAGAATGTGCATGAACTTCACTAACATGAGAGTTGTCTGCATTATAACAATAAATAAGTAAATATGACAAACACCATATTGGCTTCTAAATCATATTATTTTTGGAAAATTACCATACCCTTAAAGAAATTATAACTATAAATAATTGAATACGATAAACACAGAGAATAATAAGAATTTGATGAAAATCTCTCATAATGTTCTCTCAAATTCCAATCAAGAGCAAAATTTAAAGTCCCATGAAAATTTCTTCAAGCATGAGACATGTGAGTAATATTATTTACAAAAAATATGATGTTACGCAATATATGCTCATTTCAGTTTCTTTTTAAACTTAGTAAGTTATATTGTTAGGTTTTATTTTAACTTCGTTTTAAAAGTGATTTTAAAAGATAAATGTATTATAAATTTGCATATTTTGATTGTGAGCGTTTGGCTACCAATATTTGAAATTTTGCTATTTTGATGGATAAAAAAGAGAGAATATAGTAATATAAATTTCTTCATTGTATGAGAATAAAAAAATGAATTAATGAGTAAACTAATAATATATATAATAATATTATAAATAAAAAGTAGTTTTAAAAGAAAAATGGGAGAAGATAATATGCATTAAAATCAAATAATAATTTATATAAAATAAGTTTAACAACTTTTAAAATATTTAAATAATTCTCAGAATGTTTTATATAGAAAATAGAAGGGAGCAACCTTATTTTGAAACTACACATTAAATAAATAAATAATAATAATAATAAATACAGAAAACCCATTTTGACAAGGCCAGAGCTCTGGTCGTCAGCACATAGGGCACGGCTCACAGGGCGGCGAGCTGTAGAAGGAGAATCTAGTGGAGGCGGGAGGGAGCAAAGATGGCGTCAGGCTGGGGGATTACAGGGAACAAGGGCCGATGCTACGACTTCTGGATGGATTTCAGTGAGTGCATGTCGCATTGCCGGGAGCCCAAAGATTGCGCTTTACTCCGCGAGGACTATCTCGAGTGTCTCCACCATGCCAAAGAGGTCAGCGCACGCCCACTTCACATCCCTAGTTCCGACCCTTATCAAATCTTTGATCAGTCGCATTCATTAACTATACGTTATTGCAATCTATGATTCGCTTTCGTTTGGAGATTATAGCCAAATGTGACTTTTCATGTGGTTCGATATGTTTGGTGTTTTCTCGCGTTTCTTTTGGAGGGTTTGTAGATTTGTTGTCGATGTTTGCAGGTTTTTGAAGGATTTGCTTGGCTTTTGTTTATGTTAGAGATTTTAGCTCTTCTGTATAATTTGATGCAACTATAATTTAGTTAACATTGCTTCAGTAAGTTTTGCTAATCTGAATTTATCAAACCCAGAGGTTGTTAAATCTTGAAACCCGGTTGGATCTCTAAATTTTAATCCGAGTTAAAACACTTAAGCCCTATGAATTGTTTGTTAGCTATCAAGAAGATTAGTAGATTACTGGATTTTGTTGATTGGATTAAATTTATATTGTGATTTGATTAAACAAGTCACTTATTTAATGATAATTAGGATGATTTGTGATAATTAGGGATCAATAATATTTTTAATACCTCACCAAAAAATTATCTTAGTCATGCACAAATCTTGACACACATTTGAACTAAGAGCTTCAAAATTCAAATCAGGAATTAACCAAAATCTAATTCAAATGATGTATCTTGATGATACGAGCCAGTTGACATCAAACATGGTTCGATCTAAATCTAGGTGAGCTTGCATCATGCACTTAAAACATAATAAGAAGCTTTGAGATATATTTTGGGGGTCCGGACCCGGACCTAGACCTGGTGGAGAAAGTTGAAGGAGCTCCAAGCTATTGAGGATTTCTGAGCTCCATGACCGTTATACCGCCATCATCGAGCTACCACCGCTGTCCAACCACCACAGCCGTCGCTGCTTGACCACTGCTGCCTGGCCACCGCTGTCACCATCGCCATCGTCAAACCACCGTTGCTGACCACCATCGTCGCCATCGTCTTCACCGTCATTGTCTGACCGTCGTTACCACTAGACAATTTTCATATGGCTCCCACTGCCGTTGGACCACTGCAATGTAGCCACCGCTATTGTTGGATTATTGTTGCCCGACCACCACCGTCGTTGTCGCCGTCATCGAACAAAAGTTGTCTAGCTGTTGTAACCACCAAATCACCACTGTTGTTGCTGCTGGACCACTGCCGTTAGGACGTTGCTATTTTCCCAATGCATTACACCTAGCATAAGTCACATCCATAACCCCAACTTTTGTAATATTTTTTTCAGCTTCTCAATGACCAATAAAGTCATGTAACCTAAATCTGCACAGTGTAATCATTTTAATTGGGTTAGGTTTCATGGTTTTTACCCTTTCGGGTTTTCCATTTAAGAAATTATGTGATTTCTTTTGTTATTTTTATTATAATTAAATACGCCACCCTTCCGCCGTGAATTCACCAACACACAACAATTCTAATTAGCTTCCAAACACATTTCTAATATTTTATTCTGGCTAAATTATAATAATTTGATAGATCAAGCATAGTTTATCATATACAATAAATTTATAATAGTTAATTATAATTTAATTTATTTAATAATTTACAACTAATTAATTTCAATAATAACTAAAGGAATTAAGACTATGGTGTAATCATTATACCGATACTTAAGTAGAGTAACTATGGTGTAAGTAAGGTTTAATTAGGTTTAAGTGCCTAAATGAGCTATCTATGTATTAGCTAGGCTTAATTAGTTAATTGAATGCTTTTTTAGTTAACTCTTTAACCTAATGAACAAAAGATAAAATCATGTTTATTGAGGTTTAGAGTGACTGTAAGATAGCAAGAAGCATTGCCAAAAATTAATGAGCAAAGTAATGTTATAAGTTTTGATGATCGATATAATTGAGAAAAAAGAAAATGAGATATGCAAAATAGCTGAAGTAAGAGATAGCATATATATATAGATTTTAATCAAATCATATTGATTAGAAGCACAAATAATAATATTTTAGTTAATTATAAAAATATAAAAGAAAATGGAAAGATTATTCCAAAAAAGTTGTTATATAGAAATTCTTAAAAGAGCACAATGAACAAATAATAATATATATTATAAATTTTTACATAAAGAGGAAGTCAAGCTAGCTCTAAAGAAAAATGGATAGCGATAAAAGATGGATAAAAGTAAAATTTAGTGTCCAGGTAAACTTATTTAGTTTTGGAGAGTTATATGTGATATTTTAGTGGTTTGTTTAAGAAATCTTAAAAAAAAATTTTAAAAATTAGGAGGACGCCTAATAATTGGAAAAGTATTTTGATATTAATGTTTACGAAACAAAGGAGATGGTAATGATTGTGATGTTTATTGGATAATCAATTCTATGAATAATAAAATGGAGTTATGAGTGTGAACGAACATAACTTTTGGTTTAGAAGAAATTGTGCTTGTTTAGATAAATAATATTGGCTTCTTGTTTGGAATATCACCATGAAATTGTTTTTTGTGCTATAAAAACTAATAAAAAACTATAGAAAGCATTAAAAAAATATTTTAATGATTTTTATTGCTCTTAGGATGACATATTAAAGTGTACAAAGAGAATTTAGTAAAGGTATGCTAATGTTATAAAAAATTTGTCTGTTGATGTATTGTTCGGTATCTAAAGTAGTTATGTAGTGACGGAAGAGTTTCTTTATGGTCAATTATATTGATGATAGTCATAACTTTCGTATTAGTCATTAGATGCTTATAAAGAATATTCAAGCAAGATCTTGGTGTATGTTTTTCGCAATTTCGTGATTTCGCAATTCACATAGTTATAGACAAACGGACATCTACTAAATCAAGTGAAAAGTTGCAACAATGGAGAAATTTTTTATAAGATAAAAGAATTGGAATTGATTGGACACTAAAATAATTTATGATGTATAATTCTTGCGGTTATAATATTTATAATTATTGGTAAATATTAATAGAAGATTAAAATGATACTTAGGTAGAAATATTTTAAGTTTTATGGATCTATTTTACAGAAGATTGATGATATAACTTTAAGAGTTATGACTATATATTTAAAATTGAGAAGTGCCAAAGGAGCAATATGTGATACGACGATATCATAGATGCTTAAAAATACAATCTATTAAACTTAAATAATTACCGCCACATATGGAGTTCAAAATTATCATCACATGTGATTTGTAATTAATAATTAATATTCAATGTCTTCGATATGCTAATATGAACCACTGCAACAATTTCTTTGTTGATGTGTATTTGTGATGTTGGAGTTCATCTTCCCATTACTACTTTCCATGCTATTTCTGATTGGTTTCGTGCTTTCTAATATTATTGCCTTAGTTCATGCGACTTATTACCTTCTTTTGCTACCTTGCTTCCATGTTGCATTGCTGATTTTCCATTATCTACTACGTTGCATGGTAAGATGCCATGCCACCTTCACCAATTCTTGCAACTACTACTATAGCTTCGTTGCCATTCCCATCAGGATAATGTGCTGCCTTCCCCAACTCCCGTTCTTTCTTGTTAAAGTCTTGTTGGAGCCTCACTGCTTTATGTTTGAACTCTCTATCATTCTTGTTGTGGCAATCCTCCTATTTTATTGAAGGCTACTAATGTGACCCAAGTCATGTAAAACTAATTGGATTGAATATTAAATTAAAATTTCAATTTTGTCTTTTGCGCATATTTGTTGGATGTGTGTTCTTTGAGTGCTTCACAAGTATGAAAAATTACATCTAAAGGGGGTTATTTTTATTGGTGCAATGCTTTGTTTTTTCCTTTGGGGTGATTTTTATTCGTATTATTGTCTTTTAAATTGTCCAATTGCTAATTTTGTTTGGTGATTTAAATTTCTTCTAGTAATTTTGTTTTTTTACTGCGAACTTGTTTTGTTGTTGACTTTTTATATTTATTATTGTTTTCTTTTGGAATTATAGATTGTAGACATCTATTAAAGTATATCATGTTTGATATCCTTACAGTAAAAGCAATAAATTTTTACTAAAACTGTGTTAGCAATCCATGGGTTAATTATAATAAGGATCCATCCATCCATCCATACATAAATTTGAAGTTGTTATTTTGAAAATGTGAAACTCATTGGTGAATGGAAGGTTAGAGCATTAGATGGGAGGCATATTATTATTGAACTTGAGAGGGAAGAGGATTATGTTAGATTATTTTGCAAACCATGGTATATTGATAATGTTCGCATGAAAGTCCTCAAGTGGAATTCGGACTTTGATCCAGCTGTTGAACCCCCTATTATTCCTATTTAGATAACTTTTCCAGGACTTAGGCTCCATTACTTTCATCAAAAAGTGTTGTATTCTCTTCCTGCCATCTTTGGAAAACCCATGAAAGTGGACCTTGCAACACAATTTCTCTAGGCCTTCAGCTGCAAGAGTAATGGTTGAAAGAGATATCACTTTGCCAATGCATGATGAAATTTGGCTTGGAACTCATAATAATGGTTATTGGCAAAAGGTAGAATTTGAATACAAACATAAATACTGCCCAAAAATGCAGAATATTTTGGCATATGGTGGAAAATTGCTTTGTGGCTCACCTTGAATTGAGGCAACAACAAAAAGACAACAGTAGAGATAAACGTGAAAAGGGTAAACATGGGAGATGGTTAACACAATTGAGGGCAGCTCTCAACAGATGGAAGATGCAGAAGTAGGTGAACAGGTAGTTAGTGCTGATCCTGAACCAAGAGATAGGGTGAGAGAAAGAGTAGAACAACAAACGGATGAGGTGGAGGAAAACACACAAGAAATTAGCCAGCAACAAACACAAAGGGAGTTACCTGATGAGGAAATGGTTGCTGCTGTGGCAGAGATGGCGCAACAAAACCAATGTGACATGATAAATGAACAATTACGGATGGGCAATGAGTCATCACAAAGCGAGATACCTAAGGATGAAGTGGTAGCTGCTGTGGCTTTAATGGAAGAGGAATGGATGGTTCAAAAGAGCAGGAAAAACAA